GGGTTGGGGGGGGAAAGAGGGATGCTGCGACCCCGCGGCCTAACGCAGAGCTGCCTGCTCCGCTGCCACCCAGCTCTCTTTTTTATTTCTTCCCTTCCTTTTTCACGCTTTTTGATTTTTGTTCCAATTTTTTTCTTCACCTCTTTAGCCAGAGGGGTGCCTGGGAGCCCATCGCCACCCCTCACCCCCTTTCCCTGCCCTTCACCTCCCATCCCTTCTTCTCCCATCCCTTCTTCTCCCATCCCTTCTCTTCTCCCATCCCTTCTCTTCTCCCATCCCTTCTCCCTTCTCTTCTCCCATCCCTTCTCTTCTCCCATCCCTTCTCCCATCCCTTCTCCCATCCCTTCTCCCATCCCTTCTCCCATCCCTTCTCCCATCCCTTCTCCCATCCCTTCTCCCATCCCTTCTCCCATCCCATCCTTTCTCCCATCCCATCCTTTCTCCCATCCCATCCTTTCTCCCATCCCATCCTTTCTCCCATCCCATCCTTTCTCCCATCCCATCCTTTCTCCCATCCCATCCTTTCTCCCATCCCATCCTTTCTCCCATCCCATCCTTTCTCCCATCCCATCCTTTCTCCCATCCCATCCTTTCTCCCATCCCATCCTTTCTCCCATCCCATCCTTTCTCCCATCCCATCCTTTCTCCCATCCCTTCCTTCTCCCATCCCTTCCTTCTCCCATCCCTTCCTTCTCCCATCCCTTCTCCCATCCCTTTGCAGCTGGAGGCCAACCCGCCCTGCATCCCTCCATCCCCGACCCTCTGCCCCAGTGCTCCCAGCAGGTACCTCGCACTGGGCAAGGACAGGCCTTACTGGAAGGGACGGTGTCATCCCCCCCCACAACCTCCCCCATGGGGCAGGGGGGGCCTTTGATGATGGCAGTGAGGGGGGGTCCATCTCTCTTTGCAGCCCCGCGCGCAGACCCTCACCTCCGGGACGGCACCCACAGGAAGAACATCAACAGGAGTTTGGGGTCCCTGGGACGACTCTTTGCACCCTGACCCCCCCTGGGGTGCTGCAGGTATTTGGGGGCAGCCCCCCACCCCCCCCTTTCCTTCCTGGGCTCATAGCCCAGCGGGTGCGGATGCCGCAAGGAGCCCGCCGTGCCGTGCCGTGCCGTGCCGTGCCGTGCCGCGCCAATAAAGCTCTTTTCGCTGCGGGTCTCCCGCATCCTCTCCTTTGTTTGCCGAGGTTTCTCTTCCAGCGGCGGAGGCAGGACCCGCACTCAGCACCAGGTGGGGGGGATGAATATTAAAATTTCCCCCCCAACCCAAAATAAATAAAAAAAAAAACCTAAAAAACCTCAGTCTTTCCATTTTGGCAGCCCCCACGGTCGCCTGCTCAACCCTGGGTGGGCGCCTCTGCACCCTGGACCTCCAGGAGAGTCTGAACTGCCAGGGGGCTCCCCGTTTAATGAATAAAAGTGGTGGTGGGGGGGGAAAAGTGAGAGATTTGGGGTCCCTTCTATTGGGGATGGCCTCCATCCCTGCAGGTTGGTCCCTGCCCTGCCGCACTCTGCGCCGAGCATCCCTCTGCGGCGCCGCCGGCCCCAACACCCAGAGAGCCAGCGACACACCGGGGACAGGGGAGGGGGGGGGAAGAGAGAAAGGAGATCTAAATAACCCCAAATAAATAAACAACCTGCTTATGGCTTGCCAAAGGGCTGGGATGAAGAGACACCATCACCTCGCACCCGAAGGCGGGGGGCCCGGGACCCCCCCAGGGGCCCCCTGCGTC